GTACTAGAAGTAATCATAGTTTAATTATTAGCAAACTGGACTTGTAAATCATTAGTCGAGACGCCATTCTTCAATGGGTGAGGTGCACAATAAGCCTTGAGCACAAATTAAGATTTACTAAATAATAACCAAATGGATTCAAATGTAATGCGACCAATTTATTGAAACTGAAACAGCAAAGATCAAATTGGCTTTGGATAAGCCATTAAATATTCATTTAAACAAATCTCATAAAATGCAAGATATTCCCAAATATTTATTTACGTCTGTTTGGAGAAAGTAAATATTTTAAAAGAAATAAATAGTCAGCAATAAACGATTACATAATCTAATAAAACAAATTCAGATGCTGATGATCTAGTATCCTTCAGAAAAGAAGTGGCTCTAAACGCCATCTTGTTAGGATCTTACTAGATTTGCTTACTTGAAAACTGTTTACAAAAGAGGGATGCCCATTGAATGTCTTCACTAAATAAAACTTTTAAAGCAATAAGAGCTAATGTCGAGTCATAAAAAATAAACAATCTTAATTCCCTAGAAATTACATTACGTTTAGGAAAGGAAAATAACGGCTTTGCGATTTGAAAAAGAGAAGTGTATTTCTTAAATAGGGTAACTGAACCTTGATTTGTGGCTCAGGGGTTTAAGGGACGCTGGACTATACAGTAGTTTCTTCTAAAGTGGAGTCACGGGTTCAAATTCTTTTTGAAGGCTTATTTTCCTTATTAAACAATCTCGAATGCACATAACGGTGGACTTAGATCCACACTTTTTAAAAAACAGTGTCTCCTCAAACACATTTACCCACTAAATATAGCGCTTAAAGTAACAAGATATATATATATATATATATATATATATATATATATATATATATATATATATATATATATATATAAAAAATGGACAAAAGGTCCGACAATTTATTTAATAAAGACATTTTTTATGTTTAACGTTGTTATTTATAGATACAAGTATTTAAGCAAATGCTCTGTTTATGATAAACAGTATTAAATAACATTTACCGGCCTGAATGTCGAAATTTTCATAGAAAATATTCGTTCTTTGACAGGATTCGAACCTGCATCCTATACGGAACCGTCATTTACGCTGACGTGCCTTACCTCTGAGCCTCTAAGTTTATAAGCAGTAAATTCGACCTTGTCTACCGAAAAGGTTCTTTAGGATGCAGGTTCCGTTTGATCTTTGTTCAAAGAACGAATATTTTCAGAAAGTTTGTCGGACACTCAGGCCGTATAAATATTATTTAATACTGTTTATCATAAACAGAGCATTTGCTTAAATTTGTATCTATAAATTTCAACGTTAAACATAAAAATGTCTTTAATATATATATATAATATTAAAATTTTGTCCATTTTCAAGAGAAGTCGCTACTAGTTTTTTGAAGTCTTTGAACAGTCAAATGTCAGTTTGAAAGAAACAATGCAGTTATTAATAAGAAGAGTTGAAATTAATGCATGCAAGATTTCACAACTCCTTAACCTATGAGATTTTCAGCCCACACTCATCTCTGTCTATCTATCTCTCTCTCTCTCTCTCTATCTATATATATATATATATATATATATATATATATATATATATATATATATTTAGCCATGTAAAATGAATAGAATCCAATTCTGACGTTTGTAGCATTCAATGTAAAAGAGGGCCCAATGCAAAAGTAGAACAATAATCTTTATTTTAGGATATTACATCAATACATGTAAAAAAGAAACAAAAAAAGTTACACAAATGCAATCATATTTCGATGCGCATTAACACATCTCATTAGACTTTAGTAAATAACTGGTGAGTAGACAATTTATTGAGATTTAAAAACAAGACACAGCCTATTTACACGCAAAACAGGAAGAGAAAGAAAGAAATCCTTTTCTCGGGAAAAGAAGGTCTATGTTGTGTCTTTCTTTCTTACATATTTATAAGTATACAATTCGTCCATGCTTTGAATATTGCTGCCATATCTGGTTCAGTGCTCCTGCTATATATTTCGAGATTATTGATAAAATGCATAGAAGAGTATGTAATGTTATTGGTCTTGACCTGGCATCTCGGCTTCAGTCACTTTCCTACCGCCGTAACGTAGCTTCCCAGTGCCTTTTTTTTATAAATATTTTCATGGTAATTGTTTTAATGAACTTTTTCTCTATAGTACGCAGGTTTTATGAATTTAAGCGCACAACTAGATTGCAGAGTTTGAATGAGCCTAGTACTTTTTGAAATGTCTTCCTTGCTTTCCAGTCAACTTTGATCTTCAAAAAATTTAAGTGCAATGCCAATCGTTATCTTCTGTCCTCTTTATTTTCTTTATCGTTCTCTCCCCCCTCCTCTCTCTCTCCTTCTCTCTTTAATAGTAGTTTTATCATATTATTTAACACTCAATAACCTCTTGCGTGCTAGGGGCTTTATTGCCTTGCTTGGGATAAAATGATTAAAAATGAAAGAAAGTGTACTCCGAATTTATTTTTAACTGCCAAATATGATTTCTAGGTCGGGTGATGTATTCCTCATTACAATTAGTTCCACAAAACGAAAATTACTTATGACTGAAGCCAATATATTATAAATCCAAAATAGTTTTCTTTCCTTTCTTTTTTACAACGATGTTCACCCTTTGTACCGGGTGCAAATCCGCGACGACTGACAAACTTCCTGAACAAACACACTATTCACTTGGGGCGCCTGGTGTAAAACCGCAACGATTGATAAACTCCCACAATTTACTCAATAATCTCTTCCCGCGCCTCTGATTTCTCCTTTACACGATTCTTCTTCAACGTTGCAGAAGATTTTTTTTTTGGAGTGACGAGTGTTCGGCGTTTTTATGTCCTTTTCTGTCCTCCTTCATTTGCATGCGTGAATTCACTTCCCGTGGCTTTACGCGACCGCCCGCGTGAGGATACGTGACCATTCGCAATATAAGCTTCCCGGGGGGGGGGGCAAATTTAGCCATGTTTTTCCAGTAAAAAAAATAAACCTTGCACGCAGAACATATAGGCTGCCGTTTTCGATCAGGTGGGCCAAGAGCCACTCAAGGTAGCTGGTTACTGAGTAAAAGGAACAGTTTACGGTTATATGTGGGGAAAGACCTAATAGCTGACTCTAGATATGAACAGATTAAGATTGTAATGATCGGGAAAGCATCATCTTTGGAATCGGTTCCAAAAGGCAGAGATTCGTAAGCAAAAATAGATTTCTTTTAATAAGCCATTGCCTCTAAAGAGGAAGAGTCTATTTTTTTTAAAGCATTTCACCCCAAGCAAGGCAGGAGTGCCACTAGTAAACAGAGGGTTACAGAGTGGGAGCGAGAGTAAAGAGACGTGATGAAGGAAAGGATGAAGAGAAGGACAGGGAATATATTAGGTCATCTGGAGATGTCGATTGACATTACATTTGAACAGTTGGAGATTATAGCTATCAGGGAAACAAGTAATAGGAAGGGAATTCCACAGACGGGAAGTGCGAGACATGAATTTATTGGAGTAGAAGAGACGGCCATATTTAACCGTTTCCACAGTGAAAGGGTGGGACCGTGATGCCAGCCTAGTAGCACGCTTAAATTCATGCTGTCTGGGAACTAGCGAAAGTAGCTCGTCGGAACAGTTACTGTGAAAGTATTTGTAGAAAAGACAGAGGGAGGCGACGGAACGTCTGTGAGAGAGCGACTGAAGACGAGATGCCAACCACATTGCTTATCCGTCTCTGGATCTTGTCGAGGACCTTAAGGCGAACAGCGGCGGCATCAATCCATAGATGGCAGCAGTATTCCATGCAAGAGCGATTTGTTGATTTATAAATTTGAAGGATGGACACGGGCGTGAAAAACTTTTTGGCGCGACACAGCGAACCAAGTTTCCTTGCGGTGGATGAAGCTATTGATTCAATGTAATTGTTCCATCTCAGATCAGCGGACTGTGTGAAACCAATCAGTCGCAAGGATGTGCTCTCGTGGAGTTGAGCATCAGACATTCTAATGAGAGGCACGGAGGGTTCCCTGTGTTGAGTAATAGAGAGCAGTTTTGTTTTTGAGGCATTAAAGTGAACCAGCCAGTTCCTGCCCCAGTCTACAACCGATTGGAGGTCCTTTTCGAGACTAACGGCCAGGTTAGTTTTGACAGCGATACCAGATTTGCTATTGAGTGAGGCTATTGAACTGATTTTTTTCTATCCATGCAACGGAGATTTCCTTTAGAACTTTCAGGCTTTCATATTAAAAAAAAAACAATTTATTTGATTTCACTGCAGTTTTCGATTCGGCTCGATTCAAATGTCTTAAATAATGAACATCGGCCCTCTTCTCGGATTTTTCTTGATAGACAAAGATAAATATGATAAGACGATGAGTTTACATGTGATCAATCGCAGAATCCATTTATTATTCAACAATCTCTTGGTCATTAGAATCATTAAAAGCTTTCGATATTTGAAGGATTACCACGCAAGGCAAAAATAAATGAACGATGATTCGTTTGTTACTACTTCATTATATATATATATATATATATATATATATATATATATATATATATATATATATATATATTCAGATTGCCAAGGGAAAATAGATTTAAAAAAAAAGACGGAAAAAAATTCCCCTAACAACAGGATTTCCATATGAATTAATAATCACCACCTGGGCTTTGTTCCATTGACATTTTATAAACTGTAAATTTACCTTTCTTCACTCTTATAAAGACACGCTGTAGTCATGACGATGAGAGTCGAGAGAACATTAAGACATCGCTGTAAATGGTGTCGATTTGCTGAATTTCGTGAGAAAGCTGTAAAAATTCTATTTTATTTTTCTATTGCTGAATACTTTATTTTGCCTTTTTGGCTGGGGCAGAATTATTCAAAAATTGATAATAGTATATCATGCGATATATATATATATATATATATATATATATAAATATATATATAAGAGAGAGAGAGAGAGAGAGAGAAAAGATATTAGATAGATATGAACAAACTGGGATACAGATAGATAGATAGATAGATAGATAGATAGATAGATAGATAGATAGATATGAACAAACATGGATTATATGGACAGACGGATAGATAGATAGATAGATAGATAGATATGAACAAACCGCGATAGAAATAGATAGATAGATAGATAGATAGATACGAACAACCCGCGATAGATAGATAGATAGATAGATAGATAGATAGATAGATAGATAGATAGATATGAACAAACTGAGATACATATGGACAAATAGATAGATAGATATGAACAAACCGCGATAGATAGATAGATAGATAGATAGATAGATAGATATGAACAAACCGGGATACATATGGACAGATAATGATATGTCCCGGAAAGGTATATATATTGATCGAAGTAGCTAAGTGGGTTTTGGGCTACTATAACCAAGTAGTACACGGTAGCAGTAATCGACTGGTACTCGTCGTAGTCGCAGGTAATAGGTGTAGACCAATAGGATAGCATTGGCGTAGTCCAATGGGCGTCGTCATAGACTTAAACTCTGTCGTACCTACACGTCCGTCTGTATTTATGACGGACACCAGCCAATCATATTCCAGTGAGGATTAACTCAGGTTTATGCATATTCCATTATATCAGATAGATAGATAGATAGATAGATAGATAGATAGATATGAACAAAACGAGATTGATAAATATATTAGATAAAAATGGAGAGAATGAGATGGATGAAATGGCACAAGCAGAATTATATACAGTTGGGTAAGCAAATATTCGTACACGAACGAATTTTTATTTTGTTGTATTTCCAACTAATGAATAAACATACTTTTCATATAATTAACTGTACACGGATGCATAATAAATAAATATGCATTGAAAACAGAAAAGAAAATTGATTTAATAGAAATAAATCCTATTTATCCATTTTAATGGGTGAATGGGTTAGCGTTATTCGTACAATATCTATCCAGAAAAAACTTGTTCAAATCTCATCAAAAACTTTAAAAAAACGATTGCAGCAAGTTCTCTGTATGTGTACTCACACAATATGTTGTTTAAATAGAAATGGGTTGTATGAAAATTGACCACAATGAACCCTTCTTCACAAACTATGTCACATTGTTGATTGGTTTAATTTTTCTAAAACTTTCTTGGACAAAGAAAATTGCTTTTGGGAACAACTACTATGGAGTGATGAAACAAAAATTAAGCTTTTTGGAAATAATGATTTACAGAAAATTTGATACAAGAAAGGTGAGACTTTCCTCCCAAAGAACACAGTGGCAACATTAAAACATGGGTGGCTCGATAATGTTTTTGGGGTTGTTTTAGCTCAAGGGGAACTGGACAATTAATTGCAATTAGAGGAATAATGAAATCTGAAGACTATATCAAAATTCTGAATGAAAATCTATAACTATCAGGCAAAATCTTCATCTAGGTCAAACAATTTACTTTCTAACTAAGATAATTATCCCAAACATATGTCTAAATCAGTGACTGCCATGGCTTCAGAAAAAAAAAATCTTACAGTTCTGCCATGGTGTTCAATGAGTCCTGGACTTAATTTTATTGAATATATATCATAATAATTCAAGTTTGAATAAATCCTTGGTCATGAATTTATAAAACCTTCAAAATTAGAACATGTAACCATTGAAGAATGGAAGGAAATCCCAGAAAAACCTGTTCAAATCTCATAAAACTTTTAGAAAACAATTGCAGCAAGTTATAAAGATGAGATGCCATGCTACTGACTATTAATATTGTGAAAATTATTTAAATTTTTTATTTTTCATACTGTATGTATAATTTTATCTTTTCCTATTTTGCATAATTCACTTGTCAAATTTGTTGTATTTAATCTATTGTCCTGAAAATTGTGTTTTTTATTCCATTCTTTGTGCTTATTAGCATATAAAAATATTGGCATCATAAGGGCATTAGATTCTGAGAAATGGATTAAAATATTCAAAATTGATGGGTGTACGAATAATTTCGTTGTTGACTATATATATATATATATATATATATATATATATATTATATATATATATATTAAAGACAAAAAATTGTTGATGGAACCAACGGACAACTTGCCAAAACCTAAAACTCTTATCCAGATACAATCTCCAATAAAAACGAAAATACTGAAAAGAGAAAGAGAGAAAAAACCCTAAGGTAAACTTATCTACCCAATAAAGTGCTCGAAATTCAGATTGCCTAGACTGAGCAAAAAACGCTTAACAACATTAAAACCTATGAAAGAATTGCTCTAGTCGTAACACACACGCACACACGCACACACGCACGCGCGCACACACACACAAACACACACACACACAAACACACACACACACAGATAGTTGTGAAGATCAAAGATCGATCCACTTCTGAGAGGTACCTTTTACATACCACCATTCCAGTATAGTTTGACACTGCATTTCTTAATAGCGGATTCTAAATATCGTGTAGCAGTGATTATTAATAGTTATTCAAGCGTTATTCTTGTGAATTTAGTTTCAAACAATGGACTAAGTGAATTTGGTCATCACTGGTTGTCCCACACATGTCGCTTTGTATAGAACCAATTAAGGTCACGTGTACTGTAATGACAGTTAAACACTGCTGCTGCTGCTCTCCTCGCTCCCCCCTGATAATAAGTAGGTTTAGAGTTACTGCTTTTAATTTAGTAACACAATAGAGTCACATAATTAAAACATTTACTTTTTTATATTGCAAATATAAAGCAATTTAGCTAATGAGAAATTCAGAACCTCCACACAATACACGTTGTTTTATCACCGAAGTTAAGCAACGTCGAGTCTAATTAGTACCTAAATGGGTGACCTCTTGCTGATATCCGGTACTGTAAGCGTGTGGGGTAATAGATAATTTCTAATTAGCTAAATTGCTTCACATTGCAAATATAAAGCAATTTAGCTAATGAGAAATTCAGAACCTCCACACAATCCACGTTGTTTTATTACTGAAGTTAAGCAACGTCGGGCCTGATCAGTACCTAAATGGGTGACCTCTTGCGAATATCAAATACTGTAAGCGTGTGGGGTAATAAATAATTTCTCATTAGCTAAATTGTTTCATATTGCAAATATAAAACAATTGAGGAAATGAGAAATTCAGAACCTCTAAACAATCCACGTTGCTTTATCACCGAAGTTAAGCAACGTCAAGCCTGATCAGTACCTAAATAGGTGACCTCTTACGAATACAAGGTGCTGTAGGCGTGTGGGGTAATAATTAATTTCTCATTAGCTTTATATTGCAAATATAAAGCAATTTAGCTAATGAGAAATTCTGAACCTCTACACAATCTACGTAATTTTTATCGAGTTAAGCAACGTCGAGCCTGACCTGTACCTAAATGGGTGACCGCTTGTTTATATTAGGTGCTTTAAGCTTCGATGTACAAGTGTTGTAATGCATAAGTGCACAGAATTGGAAATCGGAAAGCTGAGTTCCAATTCCAGTCAGGTTCGTTATATTCACTTACGCACAAAAACCCTGAGTAAAGGCATGAATCCACATCTTCTCCCTCCAGCTATGGGTTAATTAGTAAGATTTCTATAAAATGAATCTTAGAATTTAGGTTTTAAATAACCTGCTAAAGGCTGATAACCATGAAAAAATGAATCATACTTATTATAAAACCCAGGTTGTGTGTGTGTGTGTGTGTGTGTGTGTGTGTGTGTTCGTTTATATATTGGATCGGATTTCCTACATTTTTCAACCGATTTCAACAAAACTTCACAGGACTACGTAAAATTACCTTGCGGTGGTTCTGATAGCGCCAAAAATTGGAAAAACACAATGGTTTTTGCACGAAATCAATTTGAAAACATGATTAAGAGGCATCGTTGTCGCGAGAAGGAAAAAAGGACAACTCATATCGAGTTATACTTATTATAAAACCCAGGTTGTTTGTTGTGTGTGTGTGTGTGTGTGTGTGTGTGTGTGTGTGTGTGTGTGTGTGTGTGTGTGTGTGTGTGTTCGTTTATATATGGGATCGGTTTCCTACATTTTCAACCGATTTCAACAATACTTCACTTTTTTTTTGGCAGGTAGTGTTTCTTATTGTCTTGCACACTTTTTTCTTTATTTTTTCATTCTGAATGCTTTAAAAATTCCATTTACAAGACAATTGTTTATAATAAAATTCTATTCAATCGATAGACTCATAACGATTAAAAACAATGTTTTTGTTTGAGTTTGGGTTTGACCAATTCGTTAAAAAAAACAAAAAAACAAAACAAAACAATAAAATTAATTAAGACATGCGTGTCCGTCAACCTTAAATAATAATCTTTGTCAATTTTATTTTTCAGTCTTTATGATGGTCGATACTTGATCTATCTCTTACTGTTACATCTCCGGGCAACGCCAGGCTCTACTGCTAGTCAATCAATAAAATGTTATTTTACTCATAACCCCACCGCCTTTTGTAACATAGACAATCATAATTCTACACATTACTTTTCTCTTTTTTCTTCTGTAAGTTGCCCTAACTTCTTTTGAAAAATGGAGCAATTTTCCGTTATCACGTGAGTGTTTTGGAATTCAGTGTTTTTCTTCTCTTAATCTGGCTGCCAACCAAGGCTAGAGAGATTGTCTGCTCTGTTATTTAAATACTCTTTGGAGGTAGAAGAAAGAGATTACTGCCTTTTTCAAGGGCATAAGGGCAAAAATAAACGCCGTAGACTAACCGTAAATTGAACCCAACGCGCTGATACCACTTTCAGTGCTGCTAGCCACTACACCACCAGTATATGCACGCCAGATGTTATGTAGACAGATTTCGTTGATGCTGCAAGGTCCTGAATGAGGGCTACAAGATCATGAGTACGAACTTAAATAATGTCTTACGTTCAGAAATTTCTTGAACGCATATAAAATAAAGCCATTTTCCATCGAGTAAAAAAAAGAAAAAAAAACAGATAGATAGATAGATAGATAGATAGATAGATACCCGGGTTCAAATCTCACCCATGGTCGATTTGATGTTATCGGACTGAAGGAGTCGATCTCAGCTTGCAGCACCTTTGGAAAGTGTCAAGCCTTGTGAGTGAAATTGGGTAGACGGAATCCTTGGAGGCCGTCGATAGCTGTGCTAGCACGAAGTCACAAGTCATCGTGGCCGAGGGCTTGAGCTTGCTGCCCATGTTCAAATTGTTGATCACGCTAGATAACACGCTTTTCTCCAGAAACTGTAACTAAGATCTGCTCAGTATAGCTGCAGTATAAAGCACATGTGGGCTTTGTAGCTGTTGAACAAACACAAATGCGCCTGAGCAAGCGTCTGCAATAGGGATTGACTAGCCGCTCTAA